CATTAAACTTAAACTTCCTTCTTGCATTCGTGCTCCTCCGGAAGAACACACTAAAATAAGAGGTAAACATTGATTGGTAGCATACTCGATCAAACGAGTTATTTTTTCGCCTAYTACGGATCCCATACTACCCCCCATAAACTTAAAATCCATAACCCCAAGGGCTGTCGGAATACCGTTTAGTTGACCTATCCCTGTTTGAACAGCGTCAGTCAATCCTGTCRTTTTTTKAGCGGAGTCAATACGATTTTTATAAGGTTCCTCCCCCGAATGAAATTTAATGGGATCCKTAGAGACCATGTCTTCATCCATAGGATTCCAAGTACCCGGATCAATCGAAAGCTCTATTCTCTYTGAACTAGTCATTTTCAAATAATGTCCACATTCTTCACAAACATTCATTTCGACTTTCTTATACATTAATCCATAACAATTGTCGCATTGAATCCACAATTGATTGTAGTTTTTAGTTATATCGAAATCCTTAGAACTCATTAAATTATTACGATTACAAAAAAGGTGTTATCCGATATAAAATTTTGAATGTCCTTAGAGCTAACTAAAAGATCAACATAATTGTAATAACTAGAAGGCTCACCCCAGCCATAAAATTTTTTATCCATATCATATATAAACCGGTCTTTACTTATAGTAGTCTTTTCATTTTCAATACTATCCATTGCTTTATTTAGCCCGCTTCTGTATTCYAATTCTCCCTTAGAAAACATCAAATTGAACCACGATTTTTCCATAGAGCTTCTGGCCATATTTACATGAAAATASAATAACAATAGATGAATAGTCATTCAATGAAAAAATTGAAAAATRCAAAWTTTTTTTGAATAGTTCATTTTCTATTCAGAGTAAGCAAAGCATATCGATGCAATTGCTAAGATTATTAAATAAAAGTAAAGTAATTGACATTAAAAAWTTTCAATTCTAAATGAAAATAAGGATTTTCTTATATTGTGTAAAATTCTCATAAAAAAAAGAACTATTTGTTCTTCGCTTATGAATATAACGATATTAAGAACTTTTTTAGGAAAATTTCGT